TTCTATTCTGAACCAGGAGGTTTGAAATTTTCTGTGTGGCATAGTACATTTTTATTGCATAAGTTTATCTTTTCACATGTAGCGCATCATGGTATATATTTGTACATGATATCATCATAAACAAACATACACATTTTTTAAATAAATTCTTTTTGAAAGTTTCTAATCCAAGCAAACTAATTGCATATTGCAAAAAAAAGTGTTCCTCGTCTGGATAATGGGTTAACTCAAACAGGAAATAGTTGGATCCTGTTCACGTGTCACATTTAGTGATATTTATAATTTTGTCCTCCTTAAACTTGAACCTTCTCTGTACATCATCATGTCCGCTTCCCTTCAGTATAGCTATAGGCTTGCCTTAGCATGATCTACACGTGTCAAGTCAAAAAGATCAAAATGATATTTGCAGCAAAATCTTTTACCAACATATATATTTATAAATCTACCAATTGGTATCTAATTCAAGAAAGAATTAATGCAGACGGTAATATAGGGGAACACAAAAAAATCGATAAAACTGAAATAGTAGTTATGAGTAAAATTACGATAAATTTTGATAACCTGTTTGATATTTCGTTTACAGCACCTAAAAACTAAATGAGAAATCTATATTTCATATGCTATTTTTAACAACCTATGTAAAAGGAATGCACTTTTACCGTAACCAACAGGGACGAATTTACCCAGTGTTAGAAAATATACAATACTGACTATACGTTGAATGTGCCAATTTTACAAGGAATTTGTCCTGAAATTAACCTTTTGTATGGTGTCAAATCCAATTTAATGTCTGCTTTACTATTCTGGTTGTACAGGAAGTATGTAATTTGTTCAGCTTTCAGACAAATTTGAAAACGACACCAATGACAATTTGAAATTGACAATATCAGACAGCTAGGCTATCTCTCACTTCCCATAAATGGTATCATATTTTATTATACTCATTGCTTTCATTCCAAAAAATGTCTGGTTTATTTGACAGTCTGATCAATACATTGATGTCATCCTATGGTGCAATACAGATTTCTTTCATCTTCTGATTTTAAAATCATTTTTCCCTGTATTACATCAAAAGGATTTTGTATGGGTATCATGATTTGTGCCGGACATGATTTGCATTTTCATTTTGCTACATGAATATTTTCATTTTAAATTAAAATTCAACACACTTTGAAGTTTCTGTACTGTATCAATCTTTCTTGTTCTGCAGTGTTATAATCCTATTTGATATTCAACAGGTTCAAGTTTTACAATACATAACATTTCTAATCCCGTTTTTATTATAACAAAGAAAGTGTCAAGTACATCCGCATATATCAATGGAAAGGAAATCAGCATTTTATTTACCCAGGTGGAATTTTGTATGACACATTCAGGCAGCTTTTGACATTTCTCCTAATACTCACAACCAAGAGGGTAGGCCTAAACATGACCATTTTTTTCATTATTTGTAGGTTAGACCAATAAAACGACAGGAAGCCATTTAAGTTTAGTTTTGTTGAAGTGACATATTGATCTTGTTTCTATCCCCACCTTTTTATAGCACAAACACAGGTAGCTAACTGTCAATATGTAGATCTATGGTTTCTTCGACTATAAACAGGGTTTGATTTCCGTCCATTGTGTCACCGTCTTTGATCCGTTTCTATACATGGTGGCACGGACAGACAATAAACTGTAACGCTTATCTTAAACTGTTGCTATTTAACATGTTACTCAGAGATTCCATTCAACATATAAATGTGGAATCAGTTTTAGACCAAAATCGTAAGCCGATTTGGTATGCATTTGTATCTACGTGGAATTTTGAATGTACTGACATTTTTTAAATCTGTGTCATGTGTATTTGATTATCCAGGAATTTTTTTTTAGTCATACAGGAAACACTTAAGGTATATTATATGTATTTATATGTATTTACAAATATGTATTTTTTATATGAGGCTGTAGATAACAAAGGCTTTTTTGTAAGTATAACCACATATATATTTCTTGTCTTTCCACTAAAAATTACACTAATTGTTTATTAATATTTTGTAGATGTACATAAAGATCCTCTTAATTGCTCATTAATCAAATGACTACTAGTACCTTATGAAAAATAATTAATTAGGAGGAAATAATTTAAACAATAAACATTACCATGTGACATCAAATTGAATAGTCGAAATGGTGATATAGAAAAATCTGGTGCTCAGAAAACACTTTTTTGGTAAATATTTATAAACATGCCTGGTAACATGATAAAAAGTATCTTGATTTCTTTTAATTTGAAATGAGATGTATGGAACTTGTGCCATAGTTTTCTTTACCGGTAATTTTAAGTCAAAACTTCCATAACTCATTTCATAAAATCTTATATGAATAGAAACTCATTTAAGACCATGTATATTATTGCAATCACAAACACAACGAACTTTAGAAACTGAACTGTTAAGAATAGAATATGCTCATCAAAAACACATCATGAACCACATTAAAAAGAAAGTACAGATATAAATGTTATTATCAGACTGCTAGTCTGTCTGAAACACACCAGATACCAGATGGCCAAACCTTTATTACATTATCTGGCCACAATCACAGAATTACTCCACCTATAACGCAATAAAGTAGATAAACACAAGCATACCACAGACAAAGGCTCCCGTTCTAAGATACCATTTGTATTGTAAACAGGTTTCTGTACTTGTACTTAAAGCTAAGGTAGGCTTACTTAACTGTTATTACTGAGTTTACATTACTAATACTAACGGTACATGTAGGTCAGGGACAAAGGTATCCTGGGACTGACATGGTATAAATAAACTAGTATTTCAAGTTTACAATAATTAATACGAATAGTATACCTCTCAAGCGTCAATGATAAAAAAGTTCAAATTCAAAAGACAGTTAAATAATAACCTTAAGCTTAAATTCAAAAGTTTAAATTTCGAAGAAGAAAAAATTAAATGAAGATAAAATCAAATGCCTTAATTATATTATAATGACCCAGGGAATTCAAGATTTCTCCTGGATTGTGTGATATATATATTCTAGGGTGTAAATGTATGGTTTAAGGCATTTCTATCAGTGTACCATATCCTAAACAATTTCTTTCTGCTTTTAGTGGACAGACAGTCTTGACATATCTGTGTATAGACATAGATGACAAAACAGATATAGTACAATGAATATTGTGTATGTACTGTCTGACTGATAATACCGTGTTTGATAGACATATAGGTTACACCTACAACATACTCTGACATGAATGAAGATGACTAACAATAGAGTACTATGTAGTACATTGTTTTCCCTGTGTGTATAACTACAACAGTATGACCAATGGCAGTAATAAATTACTTTGTAATACAATGTTCACCGCACAAGCATTATCATTAACAAATGGAATTTTATTCCATTCCACAACAATATAAATCTGTACTTATCAATAGCTTTAGCTCACATACGTCTTTAACAGATATTTCATTAAAACGTTCATACTTTTCTCCTGTTTGAAAAATGTATGGACAGCAATCCAATTTATTTCAATTACAAGAAGCCACATTTATATACCTTCTCACAAAGAAACCAATGAACATTTTTATTTATAGTAAACTGTAAAGATCAGTAGTGATCATTTAAATGATTAATATAAGCAAAGTTGACAAAATAATATGTAATGTAGAACTTTTTTGAAGCATTTTGTCTGAACATGTATATTTAAAAGAAACAAGATCCTACATTTATAAGCTTTTACAATAAAGTATATACAGAAGTTTTCTTTGGTAGCTTTAATTCTAATAAACATTTTCAAGTAATGTGTCCTATCGCTTGTAATTTCAAATGCAACAGACTTAATTAGAACTGTCATTTGATATGCTAAATTAAACGTCATTGATAACTGAATACTGATATATTTTCTCCACAGTTGTAAACACCTGCAGGGTAAATATGAATATTTTTTAACCATACACAACCTTAATCAATATTGTGTGATCTTTAAGATGTTTTGTATTAAAAAGAAAATTGTACATCAATTAATACAAAATCTCTTCCATAAATATTTATGTCACAGATTTTGCAGTATTTAGAGTGGTATATTTATATTAATTGAATATTTATGATATTTGTATTAAGAAAAAGCTACAGATTAATTTTGTGTCCTTGTCCTTTTTTTCCTCTTATAAATAAAATACTACAATAGATAAACATCAAACATGTCTGCCATACTATATAGAGGTGATTGAATCAATGGGCAGAAAGAAAACTTCATAATTCATTGATAAATCTGGATAAGCATTTCTACGTTAAGTTAAGTGGTCACAATCCAATGCTACACATACGGTGGTAGTAGGCACTGTTTTTGGTTGTTGGAAGGTTTTTCGGAAGTCAGTGCAATGTGTGATAACACATGATGAAAGGAGAAGTGTTTTCTTTATGGGACAAACATGGTATACAGGAAGCTGTTGGGCAAACTGACATCACAACACTCTGACATGTGTCAGCAGAGCACATTTATATAGCATACATTGTCACATCGGAATGATGTGCATTTATACACATTATTCACATGTGGTTTTTACAACTACATTAATGATGATGTATGCACAAGTTGTGTACAGGCAGGGACTTGAGAATAATAACAGTTTAACTGCAAGATCTTCTAGCATATGTTTTGTGATAAGTACAGCTTTTTCAACTTAAAATCACTATCCTTATATATAAAGTTCTTTGTTATGCTACTGAATTTTAACTATTCAAACGTATAGATAATTTTTTTATATGAAAGAAATTTTTAGGCAATTGAGATAAAATTGAACCAGTTATATATATATATGCTTTAACTGACGAAAAATGGCATCTCTTGTATAGGGTCCCAACACGAACAATGAACTCTTCCAATATGCAGCCTCTGTAGCTGGCCAGAGTATTTATGTGGTGGGATGCTTCAGAAATTAATTAGTTTATTAATTAATATAAAATAATGCAATTATTCAAACAAGTATAACACTTACCTCACAATCATAAAGTTCCCTTAGTTGTTCATATAACCAATCTTCGACCGCTAATCGTTTACGAATCAACATCATTTGGTGTTGTCCATAGCGCGCTGTCAAATACTTCTGTCGTTTATCCTTTTCTTCTTCTCGATTTGGCTTAGTGAAGCTGACATGACCTCTCGGAGAGTTAGAATCCGCAGAATCCTGTCTTTGCGCAGGAGATGAAGAAGTATTTATCGCTCCAGACTGATTCGTAGGTCGATAAGAATCCATGGAACTTGTGTAGTTTGGTGCGGCTGTGTATGTCGCCATTACGTTATAGAACCCAACACTCTTTATGCCAGTCTTCGGGACACTGCAGTGGCAAAAATAACCCAAATTTAAAAAAATGATATATGGAAAATAATTGCTATATTTTTAGTCGAACTATACAATCGGTTCATCAAATCATTAAATGGTTTTGTGAATCAGAGTATAAAACGTTAACAAACAGCTAATCGACCTAGTACTATTTTCTCTTTATTGTGTACACACTGTACAAATTGGTTCGTGCGGAGAGTTATATCAAGATTTTGGTAAATCAATTTTGCAGATTCACAAACGAAACGAAACTACATTTAAATCAAAACATCGACTCCAGTCCAATTATCTAAAAAAATAAAATAAGAAATATAATAAAAAAAAATAACACGGGAGGTTTTCTATAAGCTTATGACTTAATGGATGTTTCTAAACTCGGATACGTGACAGCTTAAAAATTAGCATGTTGTAATTTCTATAAGTTAATGACTTAATGGATGTTTCTAAACTCGGATACGTGACAGTTTAAAAATTAGCATGTTGTAATTATAAGCACATGGAGAGACATATAATAACAAACACAATTTGAGTATCATAAAACTCAAGAATACAAGCAAGTTCTTCAAATGGTTAAAATGTCTCATGGGTCGGAATTTTACGACGGTTGATAGCGGTCGGTATTGATTGATTATATTTCCTAGTAAACATTGCAATTTTGCAGAGACGTACGTACTGATACTTAAAGTACTATAATACGATATTGTTCATGGGTTTTTTTTCGGTGTCAACATTTTTATTACTTCTATAATAAATAGGCATTTGATCACGAGACTAGCAAACTCATTGTCTGACCTCTTAATCTAACGGTAACCAAGGATTGTCTTGCATTCAAAAGTGTGTCACGTCCTGGAAAATGTACCATACCAGAGTGTGTGCAAACAGAGACGTATATAACCAAAAATGGCTTTGTAAGAATCAGATCAGTATAAGTTCATCAAATGTACATGGAAAAAAAAGTTTCAATAAATGTTATTCATAAAAAACATACAGCATCGGAACCCTTAGTCCGGGCACGGACTCAGATAACTAATCTAATTCCGTGGTCCGGGAATCATACATTTCTTGTCTTAAAGACGTTCTCAATAATCACTGAAGAAATCAATGTTAGCGCTATATTTCTGAACAATCAAGCTGAAAAGGCATGTACAAATATCTATATTAAAAACACTATGAAAGGTTTCTCAAAAATCAAAGAGCATCACCTCCTCCCAAATGAAAACTAAACCTTAGCGACATCAGAGTATGAAACTCGTCAGTTTCCTTGAGCAGATTAAACCATTTATCTGTCGTTTAATTTGACATAAAAACTATTTGAAGGTATTGTCTAAATACTAGATTCTGATTAATATAATAGTCTATTCATTGATTACATGTTTTAAGTGAAATATTGTCATTTACAAAAAATCAGTTATATAAATATAAACTTTTATAATACATCAATAACGAAACAGGTTTTTCCAAGCTGTTTAATTGGTCCTGTTGACATTGATGGATGCGCACGTGGGGTCTTAAATGGAATTGTCCTCCGCCATCTTGTACATCACATATGAATTTTGAATATTTCCAATCTAATTAAAATTATATCTTCACATCGCTCCCGTTTGCGACATATCAGTAAACGGGAGCGATGTGAAGATATAATTTTAATTAGATTGGAATATTTATTTATGTATGTTTGTAACCTAGATGCTGTATTGCATTTGGATATAATAAAACTAAAACTTGAAACTCCAAACTTGGAGGAATCTAGAATACCCGGAGAAACGCAACGTGGTCAGACAGGTGACCTATTACCTTTTCACGTTTAAAACCTGCCGCCTTGGTGACAAGCGAGTGCGCTAACCTCTGCGCCACATGACCACCCCAATATTAGCCTAACAAATGTATGTTTTAGGAAACAAATTTAGGGTATGTCGGTTTGGATTTTTTATTTTATTTTATTTTAAGGGGGGAGGGAAGGGTGAAGGGCTAAGTTAAGATATCACAAAAATCACTTAACAGTTATTTAGACCATATCGTATTCTATGTAATTGTGAGGTCTTTTGAATATTAATATGGGATTAAGATTTGGTTTTACCCAGTAATACCTGCCTATGAAATAAAGAAATCACCTAGACACCATTTCGGTGCGTTCGAATGGGATGTTTAAGTACATTTGAATGAGAAAAATAATATTAGGGTCGAAGGTAAAAACTAGGGTCAATCGGGATATCTGAAACATACAAATTTTTAACCAAAGAGGAAACTGGGCGTTGTAGTGTCAAGACTCAAGAGCGACAAAATAATAACAGGAACATATTAAAGTGTCCTAAGACACAATAGCGATGTCGATGTGAGTACACTGTAGCATCACGAGACACAACAGGAACATATTGATGTGTCCCGAGACACAATAGCGATGTGAGTACACTGTAGCATCACGAGACACAACAGGAACATATTGATGTGTCCTGAGACACAATAGCGATGTGAGTACACTGTAGCATCACGAGACACAACAGGAACATATTGATGTGTCCTGAGACACAATAGCGATGTGAGTACACTGTAGCAGCACGAGATACAACAGGAACATATTGATGTGTCCTGAGACACAATAGCGATGTGAGTACACTGTAGCATCACGAGACACAACAGGAACATATTGATGTGTCCTGAGACACAATAGCGATGTGAGTACACTGTAGCATCACGAGACACAACAGGAACATATTGAAGTGTCCTGAAACACAATAGCGATGTGAGTACACTGTAGCATCACGAGACACAACAGGAACATAGGTACATTGCACATAACATGACTAGACACAATGGGGAAAATAACTATTTTTGTTTATGTTGCAGAGACACAACATGGACATGAGCTAACATAGTGTGTAAGTGAAACACGCCGCAAGCTGTTACTTTTCGTGAAAAATCCAAAGTTTCAATATTTCTGGCAAACAATTCTGGAAAGCGAAATCAAAGCGTATATGGTGGCACCTCTTCTGGGGAAAGAAAATCAATCCTCTTTGGACAAACAATGATTATGAATTATTAACAACATATTGAAAGGGGTATTACGTTTCAAACAACACAACCACGTCAAAGAAAAAGACAAAGTCTCAGAGAACAAGAACATAGAAAAAACAAGTTCAATGAGTGCTAGTTAGCAAGTAGTAATCGTACTGTACAATTATGTATTCCTTTATTTTCATTCCATATTGTACTCGTTCATTTCCTTATACTTTTAGTATTTCTTTTTAATAGCATCAGAGACGTATGTATTACAATGGTAGTATATACGTCTCTGATAGAACACTTTGAAATAAAATTGTGCTTATTTCAAATGTTGTTATCTCATGTTCAAGATTATTATTATTTATTTTAACGACAATTTTATGACATTTTTATGTATTGTGTATTGAAAATTTAATTTGACATGTTTTGACGATCTCAAGTTATAAAAGGGGTTACAAAATAAATAGGCCTTTTTTATATCAAATAATCGTACTGTGAATATTTCTGTGTTTAACCATGCATCTGTAACATTGTGAATCAAGGAGTTAACAAATCTAACACACTCTCGTTATTTCGAATTTTGGGACTTGATACATAAAATTAGGTTTATATTTTACTAAAGGCACGTATTTTTTGTATTTTTTTGTATTTTTTTTGTGATATTTTTAGTAAATTGTGCTGTCTCGGATCAGCATGATGTTGTTATTATCCTGTAATTTAGTTGTCATTATTAAAAGTGAAAATGAAATATGTCCTAATACGTAAATGATAATTCAAAGGAGTTTTTTTTTTAAGAAATAAGTGTTTTTCGTTATTTTAATCCATTACGTTTCGTTTTGATTAAAATTTTGATATTTGTACTACGGGCAGCTGCGCAGGACAGGAAGTGTTATGGCTGAAAGCTGACGATAACAACACACTATGAAAATGAAAATTATTTTTATTTTTGTCATCTTAGTGCTATCTGTGCACAGTAAAGATGAAGAATTACCGTCGCTTCAAGAACTCCTTAATGATCCCGATTTGATGAAGATTATCAAGAGGCTGGGAATAACTGGAGACGATTTGACTCGGACGAATACAAAACCTGCTGCTGTTAGGAAGTCAGAATCAGCATCCGATGTTGACTTAGGCCTACCAGAGAAACCAAAACCAACAGCTGCTCCCTCGACGATTAAACCGGAACACGTAACAGATTCGGTTGGAAATTCATGTTTCTATTCACCCCACGAAAGTACAATTATAAGATCACAAGAATCTATGAAGGCTGGGTCTCACTTTTTGAAATCTGACAGAAACAAAACTCGACACGACTGCATCATAAGTTGCTGCTACACCCAGGGTTGTACATTGGCAGTATTTGAAGATAAGGTATAATGCCAAGTATCACCTTTATTTCTTACTTAAACTTTGAGTATTTTAAATACAACAATCATTTTATATGTTCATGATATTGTATTTTGACTTGAGAACATGCATAAGAGGTCGCTGGCCGGTTATGTTTACGCCGACTGCAGCCTTTTTTCCCTGAAGCACTGTTTCTTTGACAGTTTCCACCCAAAATGCAGAACAAATTAGACATGTTGTTTCAAATTTCGGTGTGACCATATGTTTAAGAATATATTTGAGGAAAGGAATATTTATTGTGTCCCTTTGAACAGCTGGACTATATTTTGTCAAAATTGAAACAATCATAACCAAGAAACAGAGTTTTAAAGGGACATCATGTGAAGAGCCATATCTTTTTAATGAATGTATGTGTTGTATGCACTACCACTTATGTTACCTTGCTATCCCCATATTTATAGTCCGTTCCAAATGTCCAGTTTGACCACTTGAATTGTTCGGGAAAGCCCTGTTAAAAATAACGCCAATAACGTCACCTGACGGTTTTGGAACAAGGCATTAAACACAGGTGGTCTGATCGAGATGTAAAGTTTCCAAAGGGGCCCTCAGAGACGTGTGTGCATGTAAACAATTTTTTTTTACTTCAGC